ACCATTTTTTTCACATACAGATAAAGTATTTATCAAAAATAAATGAAGAATAATAATTGATATATTTTTTAATTTAATATATCTGTTAATATTTATTAATTTAACTATTAAATTTTACAAATAAAATATTCTTTGTCTTGAATTTAAATTTAAAAATGATAATTTTTTAATAAATATATTATTAAAGAAATGATACACTTACCCTTCAAACCAACACCCCACCTTACACACTTACGATTCAAAAGTTAAAATAGAATAATTTTTTGTTAAAGGCTTATCCCTCAATTGTCTATAACAAGCCTATTGAATATAATTCCTGACGTTAAAATTTTTTCACATTCTATCCATTTTCTTTGTTTTCCCTCTTTCTCTCCCTGTCTCCATCACCACTTCTCTACTAATCTCCTCCCAAATCTTCTCTTGCGAGTTCTCCACCGTGTAGATCTAGCCAGCCTTTCTCTTCATAGAACATTGATACTTTGATTTTCAACCTTCTTCCTTTTTTTCCCTCATCCTCCTTTATTTTTCTTCTTCTTTCCCTCTCCTCCCTTCTTCTTCCTTCTCTTCCCCCCTCCTTGATCTATTGAAGGAGAACCCAAATCTAGGTTCTCCAAGAGAACTTGTGGGTTCTCAAGGTTAGAGGAGGATGGCGGAGGAGAGAGAAAGAAAAAAAATAAAAGGAAGAAGAAAAGAGGAAGAAGATAATGAATTTTATAAATTTTTGTTAGAAATTTTACAAATTTGATAATATGGTGTGTTGTTTGGTTGATAAGAAAATTAAAGGTGAAAAGAAAATTTCTTTGATAAAATATGTTTGGTAGATGACAAGAGAAACTTTCATTGTTGTTGAAAAATTTATATAAACTAGAGAAGAAGATAAACTGGAGAAGAAGATGAACATGGAAGAAGATAAACATGGAAGAAGATAAATGGGATGCAATTCACTTTCCATTGCCGATTTTAGTTCATGTCTTAAATTCATAGGTGATGTGGCAAAATAAATGGGAGAGTGGTAAAGAGCGAGCGCTCTTAGCATTGGTTTTTTGTTTAATAACTACTGTAATTAATACCTTTTCTTTTTTGAATAATGTGTCATGGGGTGGGCTCAAACCTTGCCCAAGGGGGAAGGGGAGATGCACCTCAATGTGGTCAGAGACCACTTAGCCCGAAAGGCCAAGTCCCTGTAATTAATACCTTTGAAAACGAAAATAAGAGTGTTTTATGTTTGGCAATTGGCTTAAGTTGTTTGAGAATAATTCAAAATCATAAAATATTAATTTTATAAGTGTGTGTAGTGGAAGGTGCAGTCAATGGGAGTGCACCTATTAGCATTCTATTATTAAATATGTTGAAACAAATAATATATCAATTATTATTCATAGATTAAATACCTACAAATATAAGATATGCCTATGCTCGGTAATCACCCCTAGTTTATCTCATGCTATAGTTGCCATGAAATAGCGGGCATGGT